ATAGAGCAGGTGCTGGAAATGACTTTAAAGCGAGCAGCTGACAGATAAATGCTTTAGCTATCAAGTTCTTTTGAAGTACCCACCCACCCCCACGGTGACAGCTTGCACACATTTTGTGAGTTATAGCAAAGCAAATTACTGTACAGTCGCTTTCCTGCTCATCTGTGTGTGTTTGAGCAAGGGAGACCTCTGCCATTGTTGAGCGTTTACATCCTGACAGCCGGGAGCCTGATAGGTTAAAAATAACCCAGAGCTTTCCAATTTTGTCATCTTTCGGGACCGCTTGTCCCGGCTGTTTTTAATTTGAGTATTTTTTTTTAGCAAGCGTCCCCCTGGAACGCTCAGGGGGGGGTCACCGACGACCACTTCCCGTCACATGGTTTCTCATTGTAGTGCTAACAACTATCCTCAAACGTACTCAGAAATGGGGGAGAAAAGGCCGGCGCTGTCACATTTCTGGATGTCTCAGCAGGTGGGACAGCTTAAATCCTGCGTGTGAATGACAGCTTTTTAAAATTTCTTCTTTTGTTTTATCTTGGAAGCATCTTTTCCTTTATGCAGGGGACAGAATTAGGCCAGTAGTACTTATAGAGGAATGAAAACCAACATCGCAGACAGTGAAAGGGTGCTGCTGTCAGTTCCGACATTCCTGTAAAAGAAAGAATTCCGGCTAAACCGCGGCTCTTGTTTTGCTTCTTTCTCTGCATAAAAAAGTCGAGTCTTTTTGGGTTCCTTTAAATAACCAAACAGCAAACTAGATGTGCATGCTATGCAAACAGCAGACTATGTAAACTTTTCTGGCAAGCTAAGCAAATGCATTATGTAACTTGTTCTCGAGCATCAGATGGCTTTTGACCGAGCACAGGCGCACAGACGCTGCCCAAACGAGGCTTATCTAAAGCAGCCTCGTTCGCACTGATATTACTTCCTGTCACTGACAGATACGCTTCTTCATCTACTGTCTTCGTTATGGGGACGGAAGTGGTTTGGAGTGTTTTGTGGTTCTCTTTGTTCCTGTTTTTTTTTTCCCCCCAACAGCACACAGCCTTTAGGGGAATCCTAGTAAAGGTCTGTTCCTGATTGGTGCACACCGTGTTGTCAGAAAGAAAGTGATTTTTCTATTTGGAGCACATCAGTCAAAACAAAAGTTCAGTTCAAGTTAGCCCAGCTCTGTCACTGTATCGTGTTGAGAGGTGGAGACTTTAAAGCCTCTGTGGTTTCACTCCCTCAAACCAGTCCGCTGTATCTGTTTGCACAAGAACAAATGATCACCGTGTTATCTAACCTCTGGCGGCGTATCGCTCCCTTCTGCCAATCGTGAGGCCACTCGCAGCCCTCTGCCAGTGCTGGTTCCTTCGCTCGACACGTTCATCCCTACCCAGTGTCCTCTCATCCAAACTTAGCCCCGGGCATGCGTCCAATCAAATGCCTCTCTTTGCTTCTTCTGTAGATTGCCAAGTGGCAGTTCTATAACTAACGTGTCAAGTCTGGCTTTAGTAAACAGATCTGACATCAAAAACCCACAGAAAATATCACATGGCTGCCTGCGAGCTGTACATGCTCATCAGGGTGCTTTAAAAAAGTGGAAGCTGCAGATCTAATGGGGCGAGTTCACACAAACATACACGCCTTTCCTCTGGTCTCGCAAGTGTGTATGAAGCGGCATGAATGTGTTAGTGAGTTATTGTCACAAAGGTGGCTTTCTTTTAACCCGGCTTGCCTGCGATGGGAACCTGTGCTGAACGCAGCCTGCTCCAGGGCAGGTTATGTAATTAGTCAGAAGCTGCATTTTTCTGTTTCTGTGAACGCGATCCAAGCGCACCACAATTTCTTTTCAGCTGAGAGAAAACATTTTGGATGAAATTCTGCAGAAAGCACATGAATGCGCTCGCTAGACGCTTTGTTAGGTGCACGTTTCTGGTGCAGGATTGGGCCCTTTATGCCTCCAGAGCTGCTTTAATTCTTTATGGCACAGATTCAAAAAGGTGCTGGAAACATTCCTGGGAGATTTTGCTCCATATTCACATGTTTGGTGTTTGATGTGACAGCGTCACACAGCTGCTGCAGATTTGTCGGTTTCACATCCGTGATTCGAATTATTCGTTCCACCTCGTTCCCTAAGGTGTTCTAGTTGATAGAGATCTGGTGACTGTGGAGGCCATTTGAGTACAGAGTACAGGTACTTTGTCACGTTCAACAAACCAGTTTGCGACGAGCTGAGCTTTGTGGCATGGTGTGTTATCCTGCTGGAAGCAGCCATCAGAAGATGGACATGGTCAGCAGCAACAACACTCAGGCAGGCAAATGTGTTTAAATGATACTCAGTTCACAGCAGTCAAAGTGTGCCACGAAATATCCCTCACACCTCCAAGACCAGCCTGAACTGCTGATATCAGGCAAGTTGAATCCATGCTTTCACGTTGTTCACTCCATATTCTGACACTACCACCTGAATGGCCCAGCAGAAGTTGAGACCATGCGAACTGAAGCCTCTGGCGTGGTCTTCTGATCCTGTACCCTCCGTCATTCTGATGCTTGGTTTGGTCGTCTTGACGATTCCTACATGTCTAGATGAGCTGCTGCCACATGATTGGCTGATTAAATACTTGCGTTAGGGAGCAGCTGAAGAGGAGTACCTAATGGCCAGTGAGGGAACGTACTTGTGCTCAGTCCTGATTTGCAGTCTGATCAGTTTGCATGTTTTGCAATGTTCCAGCATTAACTTGGCAAAAAGTGAATTAACTTCCGCGTCTCCTGCAGTGTGAGCTCTAAATTTACTTGTTGAGCTTCATTTAGTGGTGAAATAAATATATTAACTCGTGAACTGACAGCATTTTCCTCTCCGGCATTTCTCTCGTCTTTTTGCTGTTAGCATTTTTTGATATTTCCATAACTCTCTGTGAGCCATTCCTCTGATGTAAGCGGGACTCAGTCCGTTCATTTTGTGCAGAACAAGAGTCAAATGATGCATCAAACACCAACACCCTCTTTTGTATGAGCACACAGCCTGAAGGGTTAACTAAGAAAGATGAAAACCTTGTCATGATACTCATGATCCCCGACTGAGTTTCCAGACTTTGTCAAGCTGTCTGTGTCAAACACTCTTTGCACTTCGTGCTTTTTAACCATTTGCTGTACACTGATTTAGTTCGAGTTTCCCAGCTTCCCTCGGATATAGTGGAACCAGTTGGCTCCTGTGGCGCTCAAAACGCGAGAAGTACGTTTGAAAAGCTCAGCAGCAATTCCTCTTAAGAAATCATGCCCTGGTTAACAATCAGATAAAACTCAGAAACCTCGCGGGTGTTTTCACGTTCACCAGGTACTATTTTTCTTTCTGCCGAGCTACACCTGCAACCCGCATCGCCTAGCAGAAAGACACGTGCATCCACCCATGACGAGAAGCTCGTGACAGCGTGACGAGACGAGATGTTTGCGTGGGATGTTTTTCTTTTCTTATACGTGCTGAACATGTAACATCTTTACTGACCGGCTGACACGCTTTCACATGTCGACTGATTCTTGTCCTCGCGTTAAAATTAAAGAAGACTGTTGAACTTTTGCTTCACGCCTTGAGAACATTGCTACAGTTTGTGCATGCGTTTTCCTTTTGTGGTCGTCGGGTAAATGCACGGAGCAATTAAACATTGAAAACGAATCACTTTCGAGGTGTGCGGTTGTCCGAGTTGCCCAGCTGCGCATTCAAAAGCGGCGTGTCCATTGGCTCTCAGGGAAGAGCTGTTATTAGCCGTATAATGTGATTTCTTACCGCCTCTTGTTTGCATTCTGTGAAGCCGTCGCGGTGGCGGTCGTGTACACGCACTCGGAAACGCCGCCTGTTGCCAAGAACACTTAAAAACCTGATGCATGTGTTTGGGTGTGTGTCTGTCTTGCTGTTGTATTGTTGGCCTTCAGTGCTGTGCAGCTCTATAAATAGCAGGGAGCATCATTATTTGTTAGGCCTTGGGATGACTCGGATTCAGTTGGTTTTTTTACAATCTAAGTGTTTTAAAAAATGCTCTGTCTTTGTGGTTTACAGAGGGATGTCTTTGCACTTGTGATGCATGCATTTGTCTTTTTTTTTTTCTGTGGTTGTACACATCTGCCTCTGTGTGTGGTTTTGTGGCTCCATTGAGACAGTTTGGCTCTTAGCCAGCTGACACTGTCCATCGCTAGGAAGGCTGGAAGTAATGGGCTCATTTCGCCCTTTGGGACGGGACAGGGCTGAATAAAAACAAGAGAGAGAGGGGGAATGTCTGGGGACGCTGCAGGAATGATAACAGCACGCGACAGAGTCCGGCAGGACCGCCGATTCGCCTGCGCTGCTGTGACAAAAACACAGACATCATCGTCACCTCAACGTTTGTAATAATTGAGCTATCGAAGTCTTTAATTAAACAAACACTAGTGAGCACGTGGAGGAGTCTCCTGTAGTGCGCTTTCACGTCACGAGTCGCGTCACGTGTCCATTTCAAACACGAAAGTGGAGCTGATTTTAATAAATGCCTGGAGCGTGGGTGTGGTCGGGGCTGTGAGAGCAGGTGAAACTATGTAAACACGCTGTCAGAGACTTTATTATCATAGCCCTGCATTAGCATATCACCGCATACCCATCCAGCGGCATCTTAAGCTTCTTTGTTTCATAAACAGTCAGCAAATAAAATCTAAACGCTATGAGAACGTCGTTCCTCTCTGAGAATATAAAAATAACCGCCCGGTCTCTGTTCGCTCTTTTTACTACATATCATCCCGGTGTGCTCTTTGTTTTGTTGGCACTGTAACCTACATTCTGCTCAATGTGCTGCCTCCATGTTCCAAGTATGCAGCGAGTGAACAACATAGCAGAAATTCCTTGAAAGCCTGGGTAGCATTTAGTAGAGCCGGTTTTACGAATGCTCGCAGGTGTAACTTCCACCTGTTTATACTCAGACGAGAGTACTGCTTTTGTTAATCTCAACCTTTCCCTTCTCATCTCTATTTTTCTGTTTTGTTTTGTTCTGCAGACCCCTGCCTCATAGTGATGCCGCCGTGCATGGGCGAGGCCGACCGCTTCAGTTTGGAGGCGTTGCGACACATCCACAAACAGCTGGACGATGACAACGACGGGGGGATAGAGGTCAACGAGAGCGTGGAGGTGAGCTCGGGGCGTACACCTTTGAGATTCGGGCGGTTACGATGAATCTCAGAAGATGAGTAAGCAGAAAGTGAGCTATGAAGAGGGTGAAGAGTTGAAAGGTGGCGGGTCCAGATGACATACCTGTGGAGGTTTGGAGGTGACGCGGAGAGAGGGCAGTGGACTCGACCGGATCTTTTAGCACAGCTGATCTGTTCTAACTACAGAGGGATAAGGATGATTACGTGAAGCTGCAAGGGTGGAGGTAGTGAAGGTGGATGAATTATAATACCTGGGGTAACCCATCCAAAGCAGCGGACAGTTCACTAGACAGGTGGACATGAGAATTCAGAAACTGTGCAGCAGGTGGAGATGAGTGTCAGGGGTGATTGGTGACAGAGGGTAAGCAGCAGGAGTGAAGGGGAAGGTTTAAAGGGACAGCTCGGGCTGAGGATGTTGGAGACAATGTTGGAGATGTGAGGCTGAGATTGTTTACACGTGCGCAGTGGTGGGATAGTGGATAACAGGGGTGCAACGATACACAAAATTCACGGTTCGGTTCGATACTTTGGTGTCACGGTTCGATATTTTTTCGAAAAAAAATGTTCATGCCTTTTTAATTTGTCATTTATTAAAATTATAAATATATATTTTAACTCAAAAGTACAGTTTTTAAATTTAATGTTGCTGAAACAACAAAGTAATAAAAATAAATCTATCTGATCGAGAAATCACTCATCTTTGGAAAAGAGAGTTTATTACAGAGAAATGGCTCTTTCCAAAATAAAAGCTATACTATACGCTTCTTCTGGGCTATATTCTCAGCAGCATATTAAACATATCAGGTCCCCATAAGGAGGATCATGTGCTAACGGCTGTCTAAATGACTCGGGTAAAGTTTGTAGCATGCGTGCTTGTTGTTTTTGTCTGCTTCCACTTGTCTTTGCACTAGGATGATGTCGGTAAATGTGCAGTCATATTCGTTGTGTTCCCACTAGTGCTGTCAGCGTTAATCTGAAATGACGTTAACGCCACAACACGGCAAATCTCCGTTAACGAGCTACCGCGGATCGCCCCGTGCGTGGGGCTGGACGGCGTCAACACGTTAACGAGCTAACTGCGCTAACACACTAGTTCCCACCAATTGAGCATTGCGTGGCACATCCAACATACTGTTTTACTTTAGTCCATGACGCGCTTACCTTCAGGGTCATACGTCACATGAAAACCAAAATAGTTCCAAACGCCAGATCTGAATGAGGGTGGGGGAGGTTCAATTTGCCATGTTGCAACGAGCTTAGCTTCTGTCTTGCTAGCTTGCGCTGCGCTCAGTGGATCTGCGCTCGACAGTGCAGCCTAGGCGGAGTAGTCGAACGCAGATCCACTGAGCGCTCAACACAGACAGCATCGTCAGAAGAAAAGTTGATAAAATAAATAAAACATTTTGTATTGTTCGATACATATGTGTACCAAAAGCACTGTATCGAATGGTTCAATACCAATATGAGTATCGTTGCACCCCTAGTGGATATATTGGACAAAGGGTGTTAGAGATGGAGCTGCCAGGCAGAAGGTGAAGAGGAAGACCACAGAGGAGATTCATGGATGTAGTGAAGGAGGACATGCAGAGCGTTGTCGCAACAGAGGAGGATGTTAGGGTTTGGCTGAGGTGGAGCCAGATGATCCGCTGTGTCCCGTAAGTGTAGGTGAGCTGTTCTCCACAGTCATGGTGAACACATTTGAATTACACGAGGCCTAGTCTCCATCTTCTTTTTATATATTTTGTCCTCAGCACATCTCCTTTACTAAAGTAATAAAATAAATCCCTCCAGTTTTGTTACATTCCTAGTTTTCTGATTTAATTACTGCTTTGCTGTAAAATTTGTGACCTCTCTGACTATAAAGAAACGTAATATGGCAGGAGCTAGGCTGATAACAATGAAAACACATTTTATAGTACAATAAGCTGCTGCGGTTACATAATTATTATACCTAAATTGCATTTCTGTGAATAAGATTTCACAAAGTGTATTTTGCCCTCTGAAACACACCCTGTAGTTTAACAGGCCACCCAAATGGTTAAAGTTGACCTATTTTTTTTTATAAATGCAACTTGCTCCAGCTGATTGCTGAAAGCTGGCAAATCTGAGTAAATGTTTAGTTTACAAAGCTAAGAGTGAATAAAAGCTTGTGGCATTGGATCAGTCAAAGGCAATAAGTCATCGGAGGAGACGGCCAAGTCAGCATTCCTAACATACAGACACATCATCAAAGACGCACACGACTCTTTACTTACAGTTTCATACGACTTGTGATGTAATTTATCATTAAATGTTGAAACTGTTCATATTTATAGTTTTATCGAGAGGGTGCGCTGACTCTTTTTGCTTTTTGAGGTTAAACTAAAAGCGTTTAGAGCTCCAGAAAGTCGTTTGGAAAAGTTTTACTTCTGAGTAAATGAGCTGATGCTCCGGATAGTTGAAGAGGTGAAAGTATCACCGGTACTGTAGTGTGTGTTTATGCATGGATGGTGTGTGTGTGTGCTGGAGGGTATGGCTGACATCTGAGATCGCGCTGACCTGGTGTGCCCTGTGGGTCTCTTGGTAATCAGCCACCTCCTTACATTCAAAAGCAACCACTTGGGACTGCAGTCACATTTTCTGTGTGTGTGTGTGCATGTGTGTGTGTGTGTGTGTGCATGCGTGTGTGTGTGTGCATGTGTGTTTGCTGGCAGAGACGTTTTTAACTGCCTGAGAAGTGCTGGTGTGAGAAACCGTTTATACCCCACAGCCCTGTGGTGGCGCCTCAGTAAAGGGCCGGATGCTGTGTGAATCCCGTCTAAAGACCTCCGAGGGCTGGAGTGTCGGAACTGGACCTCAGCCCACACGGAGGAGCTGTGTGTCCGTCTGTGTGTGGATTACCGACGCCTGCGTGTACAGTATACGAGTGCGATACTGAATGTCCCCATGCTTAGTATCACCTTTTGGCTCAGTAAAGGCAGTGGCTGATCGTTTCTTTCATGTTGTTTTTGGCTGTTTATTTGTTACCTAATATTTTCGAACCTCTCCTCTGGTCTCCTGAGACAAATGGAGCCGGGTTTCAAAGCTGGGCAGATTTATTTTATCAAATTAGTGGCTGTCCATCCGTTGGCTCTATGAAAGACGAGCAGGAGACTGTGACTGAAAAAAGTGATTTGTCTTTTTTCGGCCTCATCAAAATCCGGCTCACATCACGTTCTGACCTTTATGACCACAGACACACTGGACGCGTAAAATATTTTATACGTCAAAAATATTTTTCATACAAAGAGCATTGATTTTTTTCAAATCGAGCGAGGATCTAAATCAACAAATCTGACCAATCAGACCACTGCAGAACCAAGTTAGTTGGTGCTTTACAAAGATAAAACAGTGCAGTAGTGCAGATAAACAAGAATATACAGTACTCATTGCAATTCTTATTGTGTGCTTTCAAACGAAAATGTATTAGCGTGGACGTGGCCTTATGTAACGCTTTTCTATTCAGTTGAGCACTCCGAGTGTTTTCCTACTACAGGTCTCACTCACGCATTCAGAAATCACTTTTATCTATGCCTCGGAGCTTTCCAGCATTTACACACACACTCACGCTTTGATGGAAGAATTGGGGGCAACTTGGCGTTCTGTACCTTGCCCAAGGATACTTGGGTATGTGGACTGAGTCTGGGATCAATTCACTGATCTTCCAGTTGGCAGACAACATGCTCTACTGTCTGAGCAGCACTATCTAGTGTACAAATAAGCACCAGAAAGCTGGCTACTCAATGGGAGGGACCACTAAGAAATTTCAACCACTCATCGGAAGCTGACAGGAGTAGCAGTGTGGTCTTCTGCTGCTCCTGTCAGCTCCTGCTTCAAGATTCAACATGTTGTGGGATCGATGTCTGTAAACCCTACAGGTGACTGTGTGGGAAACGCCAGGCAGCAGATCAGGACTTGATGAATTACCCAGACCAGACCAACAACCACTCACTTAAATAATCTTAATTACTTATTTTGATGCTCAGTTTGAATTTCAGCAGGTCGTCTTCCCCATGTCTACATGCCTAAATGCACCGAGTTGCAGGAAACCGGCTGATTAGATATAAAAGTGAGCAGGTGTACCTAATAAAGAGTCCAGGGACTGCCGTGTGCTAAATAAATGTGCACCCAGAGAAGGAAGTGAGACACAGTGTTTGTGTTTTTCAAAGTTTGGTGTGGTCCGGCAGATTGCTCTGCAGTGAGTGGGGCCGACAGGGCCGAGCCTTTAACCTCAGCCTACACAAAAACACAGGGCAGGATCATAGGCTGCTCTCAGGCTTATATAGGCTTAGTAGGCACGGATGTAGCGCTATTAATGACGCACAATGTTAAGTTGCGACTTGTTTCGTAGGTTATGCATCCACTGCTTCCACAGCGGAAGTTTAATATACATTTATATAAGTGACTGCGCAACAGGACGAAAGAATCTGTAACGTTTAAGGTGGAATTTTTACCTGTGTGTCTCTCAGTGAGTCAACATCATGAGCACTTAAAAGGTGAATGACGTTCAGCTGGATCATGGTAACTCCATGTTAGTTATTTCCTGAGAAGGACGGCAACCCCATGTGTACCTCAGTGATCCCACAAAACCTTTAAAATGTAATCTAAAATTCAGATGTGAAATAGTAACTATATAATAGTAATGAAATTCTGCGTGTCTTTTGGATCTTGTTGTTAGTTTTTCTGAAATATTTATGATGAACTGAAGCCTGGTAAGTCTGAATTCATGCAAAAGGGATTAGAAAGAGAGCTCTTAATGTAATAAATGGTAATTAATACAACTGTATTTATGATGTGAAAGTTTGGTTTAGGGGTTTGTGGGCTGCAGTTAGCCATTCGATCCCCTGTTGTGGTATTTGGGACGACTGGTCGCATTCTACCAGCAGTTTGATTTACAGTCAGGCTCTTTCTAGCAGTGATGAGCTGAAAGGAGGTACACAGTTAAGAGGCAGACTGACGTGT